TAGGGAAAGTTCGAGAAAAGAACAAAGCGAATATTATTGTGTAGAGAATGGAAGCAGGGTGAATGTAAAAGGGATTGGGGATAGCATTTTATCTTTAAAATTAATTGTTGCACGGAAGACTGTCAGTATCATCAATGTTTATGCACCACAATAAGGATCAGAAGCACTTATGGAAGAAAAGTCCCACATCTATGATCAATCACTGCATACAAAGCCAGGGTTCGGAATTGAATTAAAGTACTAGTTGCTAAGAACCATATATTTTATATATACTGCTTTGGTAGACAGCCCTGCTAATACTGAAAAAAATGCTTATTGCTTACATTGAGAGCCCATTCGGATTCTCTCTCTATCCAAATGATGGCATGGTCAGAAGTTGCATTGCAAGAAAGAACTAAATGCTCAAACCTCCCATCAACAGGTACTGCTGTCCGAACAACAGGTGGAAATCTTCCTATCCTGCAACCAGAAGAGACTATAATCCAAGTTATAGCTGCATACAGATAATATTATGCTCATCTAATTTGATAACTCGATAATTTTAAGCATACATAAATGTGAAAAAAGGGAAAAAAAAGTTCAACATAAATACACGATTCAAACCATAAGTTGTAGTTAGGATGACTTAAATGTAGTTCTCAATAATTCATATTCCAGAAATGTGTGAGACATTAAAGGTGTCGAGGGGTACACATTGTATTGTCAGGGCATTTAGAACATTCTATTGAAAAATCATCTCTTACAAGCATTTACTGCAAAACAACAAAAAATTGTATTTCTGCAGAATGCTGTAAATACCATGTAAATATACATTTATATTATGTATTATTATCTGGGAATGAGAAAAAATTCTGGGAAAATGTATGGTCAAAGATGGTTTAATCCATAAAGTCCAGCTCCACACAATCAGAGGAAAACACCAGCACACATGTATTACTTCCCATCGAATTAACTAGCTTCTTCACATATGAGCTGGCCTTGTGTTGGAGCAGGTCCTTACAAACTGTTCCAGCTTGGCACTTGCAGGTAGTTGAAATCATAAATTCATAATATTATAATACCAAGTTGCACAAAATGACAAAAATACAGGGTTTATAGGTGACCAAAATAAAAACAAGGTAAATTTGCCTGTAGCTTTGTTACTGTGTAAACCTTCCAGGTAAAATCATATGTTGAGTGCTTACTGAATGCCTCCTGAATAGAATTCAAAGGTTATAATCAACTCCATATGACCACTTTCTTTATTGTCCTCATAATTAGTTCACTGTTTATTATGTTGGATCATGATCGAAATGAAGAGTATGTGATACATGTTTGTTAAATGCATAATTTTGCTTTACATAGTGACTACAATAAGGACTGCCCGAAATCTACTTTTAATTAGAGGGAGTTTAATAAGACGTCATAACTATGAGCTAAATATATATTCAGTGAAATTTTATTGAGAGAGCATCATACTTTACCTAAAGGGCTTTCGCTCCACAATGTGATAGAGACGACCAGGTGCATACAAACGCCTTGGATCTCTAAGCTTCTTCTCCTCCAGTGTGCAAGTATCCTTTAAGCACATTAGACACAATAGACAGGGCCAACTGCCAAGAAAGGACAGCAACCACTGTAGCTCATTTTAATGGCAAGTACTGAATTGCACTAATCCAATTCATGTGCATGAAAAATTGAAAAACTTATATTGCTTTAGCCAGTATTATGAATTCATATATTGTGCTTTACACAACAAGTCTCAAAAGCTCTTAATAAATACATTACAGGAGCAGAGAATTCACTGAGAAAATAAATATCCTAACTGGTTGCAATCATGAACAAACAAACTGATTTTTCTGCAAGAGAAGTGTTCAGCTGATGATCAATAGGTAACTAAAAAATACTCAACAAGTAAAAATGTTGAAAAAGCAGTTAGTTACTGGTAGAGGTTGAGACATGTTAAGGACTAACTTCTAAAGAGCTTAAAGCTGCTAGATTTAAGCACAAGAATGATCTCTATCTCTAAGACTCTAACATGCCCCCTTATACGCACAAGCCCTTTCAACTTGAAGCACAGGCACAGACAAAGCATAGGCCCATTATATCTTCTGAAATTCAATTTGATTATGCATTGTTCACTTTGACACCATCTCAACTTTTCTCATGAGTTTAAGCTGTTAGGTGTAGCAGGCCTGGTTTTGCATCTGTGATTTGAATGAATAGGTTTAACTTTTAATTATTCTACAACAATGGAAGAACATGTGAATCTCTTCACACTGTTAGCCCTACTGGCTTTGTAAAATTAGTCTTTGATGTTAAACATCAGGACAGTCAAAATACCCTGATGTGAAGGGAGGCAAATTTCGTTACCATAAAAGTGACTTGAAGACATCTTCTAGTGCGGCAGTTGTTCGAGGCAAAAAATCATCCTGGTTTGCCAGAGTAAAGTATATAGAGGATTAAATTAGTACAAAACTAACAAAATTGATAAATAAAAAATAATAATAGAACAAGTATCCAAGTTTTAAGAATAATTTTTATATTAATTCCCTGGAGCACACATTCATCTTGTTGAAATTTCTCAGTATTTCTTTCATCAAACATTCATCACATTCTGGTATTTTCTGGATGCACATTTTCTTTTTCTTTTCTCGTAAACAAATACGGTGTAACACATTGTATCAGTCTTCCTTCTCAAACCTTTCAACAGTCTCAATTTTATTGCATTGATCATTCAGAATCAGCATATCACATTGACAGAGTATATTCATCCTAACAATTGATACAAGTTCATCAATTGCCCAGGATGTATTTATGGAAATACACCTTCTAAATGTGAAATGAATTCTCAACACCAATTCAAGACATGACATTTGCTAGACATAGAAATATGGATGTAATGTAAAATACATCAACACTTAAAACCAGCAATATGAGTAGACCTTCATGTTTTTACATCACCAAAAGAAGCATTTTCGCCTCACTCTATTACAGTTGTCAAATCACTTTTTTTTTCTTCTAGCGGATCCTCCCTTTTATATTACAGACAAATAAGAATCCAGAGGTTTCAGAATTCAGAACCTAAATGAAATCATTGATCAACCGAAGATTTTTTGCATATCTTGATAAACTGTGACGAACAATTTTATCCTTTTAAACATGACTATGACCATTGACAAGTAAACCAGTCAAATTAAAGCATAGTACAAAGTCCATGGAAAAAGAAGATTATCCAACCTGGAGTACAACAGCATTGATCACATCTGCATATCTTACAGCCAAGTTGAGAGACATGCACCGGGGAGAAGCTATTGCAAAGCATCTTATCTTGTTTCTCTGTATCCCTAATTTGTCTCGATTATGAACCGCTAACATTGTCAACAATGCAACCACCCCAGCCCCTAGAGAATGCCCAGCAAATATTAGCATATAAGTTGGATTTTCAGCTACTAGCTCCCTGAGAATCTCATATTCTGCATCAAAAACCCAGCCTGCCGCCTTCAATAACCCGTTATGAACATATCCACCATGAAATTCTGCCTGTCCCAGCTTGTTATCAAGCAAAACTATATAATCACTTTCCTTTGCTAAATTGAGTCCACTAACAGCCAGTATGATCTCTGCATGATCATGATCAAGGTATATCATGTAGGGAGTAACACGACCTTGGTTATCGCCATAGTCCTTACGCAAGATAACCCAGTCAGGATTAATGCCATAACCTCCTTGGGGAGCCCATTGAGGGTTACGAATATCCTCCTCGTAGACGGCTAAGATTAGCCGACAAATTCGAGGCACAGGCTCAAATTCTTGAGCAGTAGCCAGGCCCCAATTTTCACTCTCATAGCCTGCAGTGTACAGACATTTTTTCCAAACCCAACGAGCACAGGCCAGACAATAAACACACTCAAGTATAGGAAGCCCGCAGATAAATGACATCAATGCCTATGTTCTAAGCATCTTCACAGATCTTACATATCAAAATTATAGTTCATAAAAAATTCGAAAAAACAAAAAAGCTAAAACCTATGCCACTAGGGTTTGATCAAGTAGTAATCAATAGACACAACTCTATGTATCATTCTTAAAATTTACACTGAAGGTATAAGAGAGACTATTACTAATTTACTACAACTCCATACATGAACAAAGATGGAATTTACATACAAATCTAAGGAAGTGAAGCCACGTGTAAATAAACTCAAAATGAAAACTTTGTGTTGAATTAGAGACTCTGAATTGTGTTCGAATATGCCCAGTTTGTGAGAGTTAGGAAAATCCGAAAAATTCAGCTTACCCCAATTGTAAACTGAAATTTATTTCCTTGAAAGGAAAATAAAGCATTGGATGGATTTGGTTGTGAAGGGAATTGAATGACTGAGATGAGATTGGAGAAAGGGAAGAAAGAAAAATGAGCGAAAGGAAAAGGAAAGAAAGAAAGAATTTAGGTGAGACTGAGAGTGAGACAAACATACCTGCCAGTCAAACAAACACACAGGTTCCTTAAGCTGATGGGTTGGTTTTAAGAATCTACTCACCGCAATAATTTCATGAGAAATTCTACGGTACCCATCTTATTTGAGAGGGTACCGGTACAGTTTTTTATATTTTATATTTTTAATAATTTATTTAAATAATATTTATGATATTTTATTTTTTTAATTTTTAAATTATTTAGTCATTTTATTTTTATTTTATATATTCTAATTTATTTGTAATAATATTATTATATATTTAAATAGTTTAATTTTAATAATTTTTTAAGTATATTTTTATCTTTTCATTTAAAATTTTTTAATTTTTATATTTTAATTTTAATAATTTTTTAAGTATATTTTTTGTCTTTTTGTCTTAAATTTTTGAATTTCTATATTGTAATTTTAATAATTTTTTATTTCTACTATTTATTAATTTTTTCTTTTTTTTAATATTTTATAATATTATTGAAATCTTATAATTTTAATCTCTATAATTTTATCTTATTTTTTATTTTATAAGTATAATTTAGATTCTTCATTTTATAATTAAATTAATCTTTTTTAAATTTTTATGAGTTTTTATATAGGAAAATGTATTGAAACCCCTCAATCTTTGAGGGTACCGTAGCAACTCCCTAATTTTATTCCTCCGAATTTTTTACGTAAATATTATTTTTTTTAAAAAAAATTACAACATTAACAACTGTCCAGGATTATTTACCAAGATAAAATTATTTACTGTTCAAGCTCAGAATTCGATTCCCGGGGAATCGAATTCTGAGCATTAAAATGTAATTTTTTTTGTTTTTTCAACTCAGAATTCGGTTCCCCGGGAACCGAATTTTGAGTTGGTTTTATATTTTTTTTTTCGTGTTTGTGGGGGAAATGTGGGCAGATCATGGAAGCGGAACGGCCCGTTCCGAAAGCAGAACGGGTCATTCTGCGTAAAGCAACAGAGTGACATTTCTGAAAGTGAAACGGCCCAAGAACGGGCCGTTCCAGCATTAACAATTAACGTTGAAATAGACCCATGAAACGGCCCGTTTTAACGAAATTTTTTAGTCATTTTTTTTAATCTGGAATGGGCCGTTCTTGTTTTAGAACAGTCCGTTCCAAAATACAAATTTACACATTTTTTTACTTCGGGAACGGCCTTGAAACGGCCCGTTCCAGGAGCTGTTTTAACGAATGGGTTTGTGCTTTGGAACGGGCCGTTCTGGTTTTGGAACGGCCCGTTCTGGGTAAACAGTAAAAACGCAAGTTTTTCTATAAATAGGCCCTCTCCCCTTCATTTTTTTATGCGATTTCAGCTGAGTTTGTCTCCTTTACTCCTTTCCTGTACTGCTTCTGATTCACCTTGATAGTAAGAAATTCTTTTTTTGGTTCAATTTTCATTAACCAAATATCAAAAATGTTGTTGTGGAAGCAAAATGAGCATAGGTCTGCTTTCATTGGTAGAACGGTAAGTTTAGTACTTTCGTTATTTACTTTAAATTTCAATGAACTTGTAACAAATTAGTACTAATTTTGGTAATTATTGCAGGAGA